CCCTGCGCCACTAGATTTTAAATCCTAAAGAAAATGACAATTTTACAAATTGTAGAACTGCTTTCAGCAACACAATCTGTATTATTTATTGTGTCAAATTTGCAATGAAATTATTCAAAAGCAAGACAAAATGTATACTCACCAGACAAATATGTTAAAAGATCATGTGCACAAGTGCAAGACTGCATCAGGGTTGCAACAGGAGAGCGACGGATAATACATTTAAAGCTATCATGCATCTCTGGGAATGCAGTATCCAGCATCTTGCAAAAACAGGGTAGTTAATCACATCGCATACTGTAGGTAAAGGGTTATGTGTCATATCTGTTATCCTGTTGAAGTCAAGCACATTAATATGGGGAAATTTAGGACCAAAGCCAGGCGCAACTAAGCATGTTTACAGCATACTCAGATTTTCTGGGAATCAATTGTATAAATGTTGATTCTATCCCCAATGTAAGAGAATAAAAAGAGAGAGACAAAAAGACAACTGCTCACACTGTACTGAGGAGAAGAGGAGAAACGTTAGTCATGCAGCTGAACATCAGGCGGCGCTGCTTTCTAACACACTATAAGACACAAATGCAAACAACAGAAGAAACAGCCAAGTGTCCAACCTCTTCTGCAGAGGTTGTCTGATCTGAACAATGTTGGGAGAGTTCACTGTAGGCCTGATTGAGCGTCTTCAGCTGCTCCTGGGCCTTTTCTCTTTCCTCCTCAGTCATTCTGTCAGACAAAACACAAATAATGATGCTGACAGACTTTAAACAGCTGTTTAAGTATTGCGCATGTCGGTCACAGTAGCTAAACGTACTTGTCATTGTGTTTGTTCAGCATCATTTGCGTGGCTCTCAGTGCTTCTGCGATTTGTTCCTTCTTAGTGACCATTTCCTCAACGGACACCTAGAACATCAAACAGGGGCATGTTAACACTTTATATGCAGTACACCAACTCTTCTTTACTTTTATAGGACTAGTCTTTGAGTAGTTGTCATACAATATTGTATTCCTGAATACCACTTTAGAAAACAGGGACACAAAACTCACAAGTACTCACACACTAGAATTGTTTGAAAGGACTGATTTACATTTTGCAATTGAATTATTCATACAAGATATATCAATTGATTTATAAAGAAAACTTTGTGATATGTTTGTATTGGCTTGTATTGTGCATTATTTTTTCTCTTCCTTCCATGGAGGGACAGAATATTCTAAACACATTCAGAGAGATGGTTTCATAATTTGACAAAGTAAAAAACAAAAAATAAGGAAGTCCAAAGCTGTCATTATTATTTAATTGTTGGAATTGGAATTTTATTTATATTTTTGGATGTATAATGTAAAAGAAAATGTAAATAATATATTTTTCATTAAACAAACCCTACGAACATATTTGTATGTGTACTAAAACAATCCATTCATAAACTTATTAACAATAAGAATCAAACATTACATTTTTCTTACTTAATTTTACCCTAATTGTGATTGCAATGGTTACAACAATAATAATATGACATATGTGTCCAGTGCTCACTGGCCAGGTGATCCATTGATTAAATGATCTTGGTCATTGATATTGGACTGGACAGAGTGAACAATGGAATAGCTGGCTGGATGCTGTGCTTTAAAACTGCTTAATTAAACTTTAATTACTGATCTGAACTACCCACAAAGATACAAAAAAACTTCTAGCAACGAGTCAACTCTCGTTACTATAGTACTTTATAGTTATCATAGTACATGAGTAGTGACAGTCTAAACTCTTTTGTATGTATCTGTCTATTGTCCTTTCTATTCTATTACATTGATGAGAATGAGTTCTGACAAACCATCAAAGAAAACCTTCAGGATCACGAAACTGCTTCTAAGCACCATTCTATCAGTTACAATGCCATGGTGATAAACTTAAATAATGTCAGCTTTGGACTGTAAGCAATGTATAATGCATGTTCCATTGGACACACAGGGACAAAAATCTGAAATGTATTTCAATAACCTGTTGGGCTGATTTCATTTATTGGTCACTGACGTTCTGAAATGTGAGTGATTGTGCAACTTTTTGTGTTATGGAATCATTTGGGGGCGACTGAAATAATCAAATATATCATGAAATCCATAATATCAATCATTCTTTTCTGTACAAGAGATATAACAAAGTAATTACACCCACTACCTATAGTGTCAAATATATGGATTACATGATTCAGAAAGTAAACAGTGTGTTTTTATTAGAAATCATACACTGTGACAGCAAAAAGGCTGCGATACCATGTTGATTAGAAAAATGCTCTTTGCCGTTAAACCAAAGCTTTCTCTCACGTACAACAAATATGTGGCAGCATGTTAAAACAGGAGACACCAGAAAACACCAAAAACAGTACATATCATTTACCTGGGGCTTATTAGAAGCATCTGTGTTGGCATTGCTATCTTTCAGAGCATTACCGTCATTGCTTGGGGTCTGCTTCACATTGGACATCCAGTGCAATAGCTTGCTAACTTTATCACCGTGCTCTCTCTTCTCCTCATCAACAGATCTCTACAATTAAAACAGATGGGTTTTTTGACAAGATTGTTAACTTTGTTGACACAAACAAAAAACACTTGAGTGGGGAATCCTCGGGGGGGGGGGGGCACTGCTGAAATACATTTATAATCAGACTAAAACACAAAAGCTCAAGAACCATTGTTAGTTGCATCAACCAGTGTAAAAATAAAAAGACATTCAGTCAAGGTAACTTCCCAGCCCTACACAAAACCAAGGAACATACTATAGGTTTTGCTTTTATGCTATGGACAAGCATATATTTACAAATATGTATTACTTATATGCCCAAACATAATGAAATGTTGATTTGGGCCCAAAACCATGAACTTTCGTAGCCTCCAGTAATCGTAACCCCGTGTGGCAGTCGTACACACTTCTTTCAAGTGCCTCCCTGAACGAGATTCTTCTCTTGGTCTTTGGACAGGTGAGGCTTTTGGTGTGAAACTTCTCATCTTTGAGAGCAGCGGCAGTAAATTTGTCAACAAGGCCGCTCTGAATGACTTCCCCGAGGGAGACTCTGTCATGAGTGTCAGGGTTTATCAATCCTCCAGTAAGGAGCTGGAATTCAATACAGCGAAAGCCGGCATCCTTGGGGAGGAGATTTTCCTGAACAGCCTGAGAGATGGACAAAGTCTTTGAAGTCTTGGGGTGAACGACGCCATTAAATACCTGCTCAAACTGTTGGAGCTGCTGATTCAGTGCCTCATCTAAAAGACCTCTTTTGAGAGCCTCCGAGAGAGTAACTTTCTGCCCTGAAGAGGGGTCACAAATACCGCCAGTGCAGGCCTGGGCCTCCAACAGCCTTGAGGCAGTGACTCTATCAGTAAAGCCCTGTTGAAAACCCTGAAGAACTGACAGCCTCCTCCTCCGAGTGACGTCCCAGAGACCAGCGATGGGGCTGTGAACATCTTCCACAACCACCATTCTTGAAAATATGATGTCCGCAATCTCATAGACGCTAAGACGGCCACCGCGATAGCTTTCAAGCTCGGATATTTCAAGAAACCTCTGACTCAGAGCGGACTCTAGACAAAGTTGTCGGCCACTTTTGACATCAGTAACGATGTGAAGTTGGCTTCCATTGGCGTCAGCTACGGACTTTTCCTGCCATTCACTTTCCTGCTGTGACAGAAACAGATACATGCTCCTGTCAATGTGTCTCCCCTTGAATGCTTCATACGCTGACATTTGGATGCCACTGCTGCTGCTGACAACAGACACTCTGTGAGAACTCGTGGGAGAGGTGCTTGTTAGATGTTTCTCACCAAATGGGAAGAGAAACACACCACCATCAATGTCGTAAAGGCACGTCTTCAGTATTTCAGAGTAGTATGCTTTCTGTCCGGTGTCAGGGTTGTGGAAACCTTTAGGGTTACTGATTGGATCATACAGACTCTGTAGAGTCTCCTTGTTCAAAAGACCCTGATCAACAGCAATGCTAGCCGGCACCCGGACACCAATCTCTGGGTTGATCAGTCCTCCAGTGGCTACCTGGACCTCAAGGATCTTCTTGCCTTTGTATCTATCGAGAATCCTTTCCTCCATCGCCTGAAACACAGAGAGCTTTTTGCCAGCATGGATGTAGCCACTAACAGCTTTCTGAGCATCTATCAGTTTATCTTTCAGACCTGTCTCAATGATACCTCTCTCCAGAGCCTCAACCACTGAGTGTGTTTGCCCTGTAGTCAGATCAGTTAGGCTTCCTGTTGCAGCCTGCGCCTCCAGGAACTCAAGAGCATACGTCTTAGCTAAGAAGCCCTTCTCAGCAGCTTCTAGGAAGGATATCTTTTTCTTACTCGACTCCACATAAACTCCAGCAATAGTAGTTGGTTTTCCGGCGAACTGAGCAAGAGATGCTTGCACGTCTTCCATTGTGACGAGACCCATCTCAAACTTATGCACAACCTCTTCATCCAAGAACCTAAACTTGATTAAGTTTTGAATAGTTGTGCTGCCTTCGAGTTCTGGGAGCTTTTGGGAGGTTGAATAAATCTCACTCAGTTTCCCCTCGCTGTCGGATGTGTTTTCACATGTTTCTGTGATCTGATACGTTCTTGTCTTCGTGATGCTCTGTGTTTCATTTGGCCGTTGGTGTGTTAGTCCACACAGAGCCATGTATCCATGTGTTGTCACAGTCATGGTCTCAGGTTTGATTTGGCTCTTTTGCACGTCTTTTTGAAGGAGAGTCAGACTTTGACCAGTAGAGCTATTCAAAGTTTTCTTTGATGGTGAATCCTGAAGGCTTTGGCTGTGAGTGACCTCCATTTTATCTTCTTTGACTTGTTTCAGTCCTTCAAGAATATTCTCTTTCTCCATTGTTGCCATCTGTAGATGTGACATTGAAAGAACTTTTAAGTTACAGAGGACTAGAGTTCAGTTACAGATAACTACAATCGCTAAATGGATATGGTTATGAATAGTAAGAACAAATGTAAAATGGTATTACATTTAAATATACTGTATTTCTTATAAATATAATACTGTGATGCAGTAATGCTGAACTAACTTCATCCATACCTCTGAGGAAGCTTTCATCTTGAGACTCTCGTCCTCCAGGTTGTATTTTGCTCTTTCATAGGAGGGCACCATCGTCTGCCTCACTGCATGTTCCGTCTTCAACGAAGCAGCCTCGTTTTCTTTCACGTAGTGACGGCTCGTTTCAATGACTTCCTGTTTTTCAGTCTTCATCCGGACCCCGAGCATCGTAAGCTTTTCCTGAAGACTTCTCACTTCTTTGACGTACGACTCTATTTGTTCCCGAAGAGATCTGGCTTCATTCTCCTTCAGTTTCAGTTTCCACTCGCTATCTGTCAACTTAGCTGTATCACTTGACTGCTCATTGCCAAGGCTTTGTAAAGCGCTTACTTTTGAGTGGAGTATAAGTCTGTCTTGCTCATGTTGGGCAATTTGTGATTTTGCCTTTAAGAGGTCGTGTTCGAGCTGCGTATTTACTTGCTTCAGTTTGTCCATTTTGGTCTGCAGTTGCAGCTGTTGGTCAGATTGTTGCTTTGTTTCCACAGTGGTTTGATGCACTGTTGTTATCTGTTTCACGTCTTGTTTGAAACACTTGTTTAGCATCTCTGCTATTTCTGCACTAGGTGACTGCTGTTGTGACATCCCACTTACACTTGAGATTTCAGATTGAAGTAAAATGAGCTTTTTCTCCACTTCAGTCTGCACGAGCAACAGCTGCCTCTCATAGCCCTCTTTCTGGAGTTCTAGTTTACTCTTCAACTCTTCCAGCATTTTCTTGCACTTTTCAAGTTGTTCTTCCATCTGCTGGGACCTCAGTTGAAGGACAGAGTTTTCCTTTTGCTTTTGCTCAGCTTCCTTTTGGGTGCTATGCAGATTTTCTTTCAGCCTTCTACCTTCAGATCCCAATGAGTTGATTTTCTCTAGCGCCTCAGCTTTCTCCCTCTTAAGGATCGTATTTTCATGTTGAAGATTTGATCGGGATTTGTCAGAACTCGACATTGATTCTTTCATTGTTACTTTATTTTTCTGAAGCTCGGTCTCCATCTGCAATAATTTAGATTCTTTCACTTGTCTTTCTCTGGTCTCTTTCAACAATTCATCTTTAGTTCTTTGTAGAGACGAGCTGAGCTCTGAGAGTTTAACGTTCAAGTTCTCTGTGTTCCTGTCTGCTGCTCTCTTGTCGTTCTGAAGAACAGACATCTCCTGCTTTAGGTTTCCTGTCATTTTATCTGAGCTGCTTGTTAACCCTTTAATGCTGTGCTTATGTTTGAAGAGTTCGTCTTCTAATGCCTTGACTTTATTGACATGTTTTTGACTCTCAGCTGATTCTTTTTGCAGTTCTGCATTTCTTTCATTTAGCATCGTGTTCAAATCATTAATTTCAGCATTTTGCATGTGAATCTTTTGGGTTGCAGAATTGTTATCAGCAAACACTGCCTTCAGCTCTGATTTCAGAGTTGCTATTTCTGTCTCATAATTGGCAATTTTGGAATTAAGCGTGTCGATTTTATGCTGCAGTTCAGTCATTTTCCTCACCTCCTCACTGTAATCCTGCAGTTTAATTTGAAGCTCATGGGATGTCTGAGATTTCTTATTTAGTTCCTCCTCAATAATTCTAACTTGTGATTTGGTGCCCTCCGCCTGAGACTTGAAGATTCTAATTTGCTGATCCTTGCTGTCGATTTCCATTGTCACCCGATTGAGTTTAGCTCTGACGTTCTTCAGATTATTTTCCATCTCCAAATTAAACTGTTTAAGCTCATCTACCCTTTTCTGCAATTGAGAAGCAACTAATTCACTTTTTTGAAGTTCGGCTTCAAGGTTTCTACATTTGATCTGCGACGCCTGCTCGGTTCTCTTCATTAAGTTGTTTTCTTCCTTAGCTGTTTGAAGCTGCTGTTTCCAGCTCTCCATCTCACTCTTTAACGACTTGATCTTTTGTTCAGAAAACGATCTCTCATTTTCCAGCGACTCTGTTTGGATCTGAAGACCTCTAATATCACTGTCAAATGAGACATTTATCCTTGTCAACTCATTGCATTTAAACTTGAGCTGATCTAGTACTGCCTGCTTGGAAGCTACTTCTTCTTCTAAATTGTTAATCCTGAGAATATTCTCCTGCTCCATGGAGCCTTTCTTATGCAGGTCACCTTGGGTGATCTTCAACTGCTCTGTGAGGCCTTCGACTTCAGTGCTTTGGAAAAAAGTGTTTTGTTCCAATGAGGACTTGGCTCTTTGAATAGATCTGATTTCCTCCTGAAGTTCGTTGATGGATTTCTTCATGGTCAGTGCTTCCTGTTGGAGATCCTCTGATTTCTGTGTCATGTTGATCCTTTCAGTTTCCATGTCCATCTGAAGTTTCTTTAGTCTGTTATTGCTATCATCCAACAGCTTTTTATAACTTTGGGCTTTGTCCTCAGCCATTTCTGCTCTTTCTTGGATCAGGACTAGTTCCTCCGCTTTCTGCTGCAGGACATCCATCATCATGCTGTAATTTTCTCTGACTGCAGATGACTCAGGCTCACTGACGACTATCGACTGAGGCACATCATTTTCTTTAGCCTGGACTTGACTTTGCACCTGTTCATAAGTATCTTCCTCTACGTTTATTTTTCTCTGAAGTTTGGGGCTCTGTTTCTTAAGATATTGGCCATCATTAGTTTTCTTTAAGAGGTCTTCTAGTTTCTTCTGAGCCAAAGACAACCTGGCCTCTGACTGCTCGCTTAGCTGTTTTGTGTGACTTAATTCCTGCTCACTGACAGCTTTGTCTTTTACCGCTATTTCTAGCTTGGTGCAATACTGATTAACGTCATGCTCCAGCTGGGATTTCTGAAAGGTTAGATCATCAATTGTCTTCTGTTGAGTCTCTACTTGTCCTTCCAACTTGTCCAGCTGTGCTTGTCTTTCAACCAGCAAAGCCTCCTGTTCCTGGACCTGTTGCTTAAGTTGACTATTCTCTACTTCCCCTGCAGCTTTTTGGAGCTCCACGCTCTCTGTCCTTTTTGTTTTCTCTGCTCTCTCAAAAGCCTTGCTGCTCTATAATGCAAAAAAAGAAGTCATCCACTGTTTCACATTTAATTGGAAATTGTAGAGTAAATTGCATGAATATTTTACTTCTTACCAGAGCGCTGCAGCCATGTAAAACAAGCTCTCCAGGAATTTACACTTTCAAGACTGCGGGACTTTTTAAGTTAGCCAGAAATATTTTGGAGGGTCAAAAGCCCAACAAAGATGTTAGATTTATTCAAGTTTATTTTGACAGCACGTGTCACTGCTTTTATCACTGTACCTTTGTTAGAACTAATACTTACAAAACGCTACACAAACTCCTGGAGAAGGCTCTATTTTCCCACAGAAAGCCGATGTGAGAAAGACTTTCCGTCAAAGAATGAAAAAGCTCTCTCCTCCCCGCAAGTAAGCGTCACCAGCAATAAGAAGTTACTGTACATGCAGACATGCACCACATTCGCACATTTCCTTCGCTTCTTTTGCACCTTGAAGCAAATGTCTTCACCCGTGATGAGCTGACCATGTATGATAATAGAAACAACTCACGGGGGAAACAAAGTTATTATTTTAATATTCACTACTTCTTAGTGAGGCAGTGAAATATATTGATGCAAAACAGAAGATCTGAGAATCATGCAAAGATAAGAAGGCAAAGCTAAACAGGGATTGTAGGTTGAAGCGTCCACTCAGCCCCAAAAGTCTAAAATATCCTGCAGAAGCTACTGTAGATGCAGAAAGGACAAAGGGAAGTATTGAGAATATGGATCTCTTACCTCCTCATCTTCAGTTCTCTTCAGTGTCTCACTGGCAAACTTCACATACTGTGTCATGAGAGTCACAAGAGCAGTGTAGCGGGTTCGGAGATCCATAAACTGCGCGACATTAAGAGAAACATGCATGTCATTGACATGTACTCTACATAAAGCACAGATTTTCTGTCCTACCAAAGTTAAAATCATAGGTTTACCTCCTGCTGAATGGCATCAGAAGAGCTCTGCATCCTCCGTTTCTTGAGAGGGGATTTGTGCTGGGAGTCGACCATCGCTCTGAAGGTCATCAGCTGAAGTTCATAATCCTAAAAAGAGATTCATGTGTAAGATAACAAAGTTGTTTCTTTCTCCACTACAGCAATTTTCACCTTAGATCTAACAAAACTGGAATGGGAATGCCGTATATCAGAGAACAATTTAAGATAAATAAGTTTACCTTAATGGCAGATGAGTACTGCTCTGAGTACTTCTGACACTCATCGATTCTGCTCTGCTTTTGTTCAATTTCAGCAACGAGGACCTGATAACACAGACATTTTAAATATATGTATCTGTGTATTTAAATGTCTTCATCTTATTGTGAAGAAGTTAACTCTTGTCCCACCTTCTGTTTGTTTAACAGCTCAGCCAGTGCCTTGCTGTCTTCAGGTTTGTTTTCTTGGGCCTTTATCTGTGCTGCTTCCATTTCTCTAACCCATTCATCAAGACTACCGTAGGAGTCTCCGTAGTGTTTCAGAGATTTGCTGATGCCATCCAGGTCCCGAAGCCTGAAATTAAATGTTTAACGTCAATGAGCAATACTTAGACTCATAACACTTGCACACAAATGTCATATATTATCTCTTATAGTGCAGATAAATCCTCACTAACCTGCTATCAATCTCGGAGTGAATGTTCTGCCATCTCTCGCTCAGCTGATCAGCTTTCTCCTTGTGCCAGTCCAGGTCAAAGTCACGCTCGTTATGTGCCTTAAACATGCGGTCGCTGATGACCCGTGCTCTCTGCAGCTCATCCTCCATGTCATGGACCACCTCCTGCTTCTCGTCAATCTCTGTCCGCCATTGCTTTGATTAGAAGGAAAAGTAGTTACTCAAAATGAACTAAAAAATGCTGCCAATGACAGTGAAATGTAACACAGTGTATTACCTTAAGTGTTGAAATGACTGTCTCAATGGACTTGACGTCAGAGTTCATAGCGTCTTCCTCATAGAGTTTGGATTCGTAGGCCTTAACTAGCGCCTCTGCACTCTGGCTGTGCCTCACCACTAAGCTCACCGTTTTCAATCTGCAACACAAAAGGGAACATATCTTCAATTCAGGTACTTTTAATGCAAATACCTATGTAGTAAAAACATATCTAAATGCAGCCATGATTACTTCGAGACAATGCAGGGAGTTTCTTACTTGTCCATATAAATGGAAGACATGGAGTACACTTGGCTCATGCTCTGAATGAGGACGGTGAGTTCAGAGGAAAGTGTTGGCACAGAAGGAGAAGCTGCAGCCTGTCGAAGGAACAGCTCACACTTCTCTTTCATAACATCAAGGTCCTCCTTCAGTTTATTCAGCTCCGCTGTCTTCCTCTGCAGAGGTGCACGTAGGAAATCAGGATGAAAATAAAGAAATGCAAAGAGGAGGGGGGCCATATCAATGTTCCTACGATGTTATAGACATTATAAGCTGACCATGGAAGGTATGATTAAACGAAATGTTAATGAAATTGAATTTATAATAGAATTAATTACAATGCAACTCTTTGATAAGGGAATTAATTCAACAACAAAAAAATTCAAATAAATAAATGCAACAGAGGTAAGTTCTTGATTATGTGAAATGATTATTGCTGCCCAGACGTATACCTCATGCTCTGTGATGCGCTGCAGACTCTGCTCCAGGTCGTCTCTCTCCAGCGGTGTGCGAAGTTGCCTGATCAGGTGTTCTTCATGGGCCTCCAGATGCATTCGGAAGTTGCGTATTTCGGAGATGTAATGATTGTATACAGACTCCTCGTGTTCCTCTGTATACCAGAAAAACATGATGAGTACAAATAATCACACAAGAGCATCAAAATATGTTTGATTTTCAAACTGTGACAGAAAATTGACATTGTACTTTTTGAAAAACTAAAAAAAGCCAATAAAAAATTGACTTCAATTTGAAAATCACAACTATTTTATAGTGGGAATGTTAAACCTACATATAGTCTCACACACATTAACTGATAGCACACAAAAGCACCTCTAGGTGGCGTCATTATCACAGCACAAGGCTGAGTAGAACCTGTGCAATGCAGCTAAATCAATAACAAGTATTCTGTATGTATTTAAATAACATAACTGCGCATTAACAACATCCCAGTGTTTGCCTTTCATTCACAGCTAAGCCAACATCCTTTTTAGAAACTTTTCAGTAAAAAACAACATAATTCCAGAAGGCATCAACTTAAAGCATAAAAGGCTTAAAGAACCATGGCTTTCCCTTGCGTGTTTAGTTCAATCTACACCAGCAACTCCTTGTTGGGAGGGACAAAAGGGGAATCTGAGTCTTGCCTCTTTCTGCAGATCTGAGTAATTCCTTGTAGTACTCTTTGCAGTCCGCAACGTCTCTCTCTAGCTGGGCACAGTCGGCCACTGTGAATACCTCGGACTCCTCGCTGTCTTCTAGAAACTCCTCGAAGTGGGACTGCAGGTTGCTCAAGACCTGCTGATGCTCACCTTGTAACATGGTCTTTATCTGAAGAGAAATAAAAGTGGGAATAAGACAAACATGCACTTTTCATTTTTCCTAGAATGAGTCTGATTATCATAAATGATCAACAGCTAGTGTTAAAAAAGTGGGATGGATAAGAGGCTAAAAAGGAAAACATCATAATTCAAACATACTGAGGCCACATTCCAGTTGCGGATGGCTCGTATGTCAGACATCAGATAATGCCAAGACGCCACGCTCTTCATGTTGATGTGGGAGTGGTGCCAGAGTGCCAGGACATTCTGATATAACTGTTCAGTTCTGCAGGAAAAAAAAATAACGTATCCCACCAGAGTCAAGTCACCAGAGCTACTAAACTTTATTTTCAAGTACAGGAGACAAAATGAAGCCTTGCAGCGTAGCATCTCACCTTGTAGCCATGTCAACAGCCTCTTTGTTGGGTGGAGGCACAGTGAAACACACAGAGGGCACCATGGCCTCATTGCCTGCTGGGTTGATGACTTTCCACTTGGCCCGGTGAGAGTTACTGGCCAGTACGCACTCATCCTCTTTGTAAATGGTAATCTGAAAGAGTTGTGGTAAAGCATAGACATATACTTTAAATCCGGGAAAAGAACTGAGATGAATTATAGGGTCATTTTGACGTAGGGACGCTCTGTATACCTCTATCTGACGATAATCACAGATGGCTTTGACAGGGATGGAGGATCTCACGGGGCTTTCAGGGTTCCTGGGCCTGAGCTGCACAATATTCTTGGCCCTGCCCACTAACCCAGCCACAGTGCTGCGGTACTGAAGCAGCTGCTCTTTCTCATCCTAGGGACACACCATACCACAAAAAATGTTGTTTATTGTATTTTTGATTTGCAACTAACTCAACACAAACACACACACTTCACATGTCTTTCTATCAGTTTACCATGGACTCCTGAATGAGATCGTCCAGTCTGTGTAGGCTGCTTGATCGATCACAGCTGTATTTTCTTTGAATGGCATCTTGCAGGCTCTTAAGGTAATCCATGGACTCTTTGGCATCCCTGAAAAACTGCAACGGGGAAAAGAGCGAGAAATTAGATGTGACAAACCAA